TAGGCTCTAGTGGGTGGTGGTGGTGTTGTAGGCTCTAGTGGGTGGTGGTGGTGTTGTAGGCTCTAGTGGGTGGTGGTGGTGGTGTTGTAGGCTCTAGTGGGTGGTGGTGGTGTTGTAGGCTCTAGTGGGTGGTGGTGGTGTTGTAGGCTCTAGTGGGTGGTGGTGGTGTTGTAGGCTCTAGTGGGTGGTGGTGGTGTTGTAGGCTCTAGTGGGTGGTGGTGGTGTTGTAGGCTCTAGTGGGTGGTGGTGGTGTTGTAGTCTCTAGTGGGTGGTGGTGGTGTTGTAGGCTCTAGTGGGTGGTGGTGGTGTTGTAGTAGTGTTGGTGTTGTAGGCTCTAGTGAGTAGTGGTGGTGTTGTAGGCTCTAGTGGGTGGTGGTGGTGTTGTAGGCTCTAGTGGGTGGTGGTGGTGTTGTAGGCTCTAGTGGGTGGTGGTGGTGTTGTAGGCTCTAGTGGGTGGTGGTGGTGTTGTAGGCTCTAGTGGGTGGTGGTGGTGTTGTAGGCTCTAGTGGGTGGTGTTGGTGTTGTAGGCTCTAGTGGGTGGTGGTGGTGTTGTAGGCTCTAGTGGGTGGTGGTGGTGTTGTAGGCTCTAGTGGGTGGTGGTGGTGTTGTAGGCTCTAGTGGGTGGTGGTGGTGTTGTAGGCTCTAGTGGGTGGTGGTGGTGTTGTAGGCTCTAGTGGGTGGTGGTGGTGTTGTAGGCTCTAGTGGGTGGTGGTGGTGTTGTAGGCTCTAGTGGGTGGTGGTGGTGTTGTAGGCTCTAGTGGGTGGTGGTGGTGTTGTAGGCTCTAGTGGGTGGTGGTGGTGTTGTAGGCTCTAGTGGGTGGTGGTGGTGTTGTAGGCTCTAGTGGGTGGTGGTGGTGTTGTAGGCTCTAGTGGGTGGTGGTGGTGTTGTAGGCTCTAGTGGGTGGTGGTGGTGTTGTAGGCTCTAGTGGGTGGTGGTGGTGTTGTAGGCTCTAGTGGATGGTGGTGGTGTTGTAGGCTCTAGTGGGTGGTGGTGGTGTTGTAGGCTCTAGTGGATGGTGGTGGTGTTGTAGGCTCTAGTGGGTGGTGGTGGTGTTGTAGGCTCTAGTGGGTGGTGGTGGTGTTGTAGGCTCTAGTGGGTGGTGGTGGTGTTGTAGGCTCTAGTGGGTGGTGGTGGTGTTGTAGGCTCTAGTGGGTGGTGGTGGTGTTGTAGGCTCTAGTGGGTGGTGGTGGTGTTGTAGGCTCTAGTGGGTGGTGGTGGTGTTGTAGTCTTTAGTGAGTAGTGTTGGTGTTGTAGGCTCTAGTGAGTAGTGGTGGTGTTGTAGGCTCTAGTGGGTGGTGGTGGTGTTGTAGGCTCTAGTGGGTGGTGGTGGTGTTGTAGGCTCTAGTGGGTGGTGGTGGTGTTGTAGGCTCTAGTGGGTGGTGGTGGTGTTGTAGGCTCTAGTGGGTGGTGGTGGTGTTGTAGGCTCTAGTGGGTGGTGGTGGTGTTGTAGGCTCTAGTGGGTGGTGGTGGTGTTGTAGGCTCTAGTGGGTGGTGGTGGTGTTGTAGGCTCTAGTGGGTGGTGGTGGTGTTGTAGGCTCTAGTGGGTGGTGGTGGTGTTGTAGGCTCTAGTGGGTGGTGGTGGTGTTGTAGGCTCTAGTGGGTGGTGATGGTGTTGTAGGCTCTAGTGGGTGGTGGTGGTGTTGTAGGCTCTAGTGGATGGTGGTGGTGTTGTAGGCTCTAGTGGGTGGTGGTGGTGTTGTAGGCTCTAGTGGGTGGTGGTGGTGTTGTAGGCTCTAGTGGATGGTGGTGGTGTTGTAGGCTCTAGTGGGTGGTGGTGGTGTTGTAGGCTCTAGTGGATGGTGGTGGTGTTGTAGGCTCTAGTGGGTGGTGGTGGTGTTGTAGTCTTTAGTGAGTAGTGTTGGTGTTGTAGGCTCTAGTGGGTGGTGGTGGTGTTGTAGGCTCTAGTGGGTGGTGGTGGTGTTGTAGGCTCTAGTGGGTGGTGGTGGTGTTGTAGGCTCTAGTGGGTGGTGGTGGTGTTGTAGGCTCTAGTGGGTGGTGGTGGTGTTGTAGGCTCTAGTGGGTGGTGGTGGTGTTGTAGGCTCTAGTGGGTGGTGGTGGTGTTGTAGGCTCTAGTGGGTGGTGGTGGTGTTGTAGGCTCTAGTGGGTGGTGGTGGTGTTGTAGGCTCTAGTGGGTGGTGGTGGTGTTGTAGGCTCTAGTGGGTGGTGGTGGTGTTGTAGGCTCTAGTGGGTGGTGGTGGTGTTGTAGACTCTAGTGGGTGGTGAAAGTGTTGTAGCCTCTAGTGGGTGGTGAAAGTGTTGTAGCCTCTAGTGGGTGGTGAAAGTGTTGTAGTCTCTAGTGGGTGGTGAAAGTGTTGTAGCCTCTAGTGGGTAGTGGTGGTGTTGTAGACTCTGGTGAGTGGGGGAGGTGCTGTAACCCTAGGTGGGCGTGGTCAAAGGTCACGTGGGCGTGGCAGCATCTGTGACAAACAACAGCCCAACAGTGCTCGGGTTCCAGGACCCTGGTGACGAGCGACCCAACGCTCTGGGGAACCCCTCAAGTGATCAACACATTATTTCCGCAGCACTCCCACTGCAAAACATTCCCGTCTTGCAGGAACATTCCCGTTGTATGTAAGCAGCGTACAAATTGCTGATCTCTAGATGGCAACTGGATTTTCGGGGCTGAGGTAGGGGATGGGGAAAAGGAAGGGGGGTGGGGGGGAGTGAGGGAGAGAGAAGGAGAGGGGAAAGAGAGAAAAAGGAGATAGAGTTCGACCCCAGAAAGGTGGGGTCGAGCGCCGTCCTCAGTGGTAAACCGGTTGCTATTTTGGTCCGGTTGAGTGTCGCTGGACCACTTGACGCTACGGTCCGGTTTGGACACTTCTGAGGCGATTTACTCTTCGCGCGAGTGATGGTGGCTCCTGCGAGCAAGAGAAGCCCTGCTTCTTATTCCGATTCGGAAGAAATGACGTCGCCCACGACGCTCTCGAGTCATGCATCGGGTCGAGCCTCGGGCACCCTTGTCCTGCAGTGTGTATTAAAATGCCCAATAGACTCGGGAACCTGTACACCAGTTAATTGAAAACTGAGAGGCGGGACGAAAGAGCCGAAGGTCAACCTCCTGAAAGCACAAAGTGATTATAATAAGTACGTATACACACACACACACACAGGGCCGCCTCTGGTTAAACTCATAGCCTCAGAGAAGAAAATAAAAAACATTCGGTGATAATTTTATTGTTTGTCTTCGAAATCGTCTGAGAATTGAATTCTACCACCGCAGGTGTTTCACATGATAGAGCTGGAAGACGCATCACCTGATTACATCCTGTTTTTCATTCATACATGACCTGTGGCGCAGTTGACGGTGCTCGAATGTTTCGGGTTCGATTACCAAGGCAAAACGAGACATTTGGTTACGTTTCCCGACTGGTATGTTCAATTAGCAATAAATACAAGGGAGTTAGTCAACTGTTGTGGGTTGCATCATTGGGATGGTCAGTCGTTAGCTAATAAGCTTCCCGCCCATAACAGTAGGAAATGATACTTGTTGTAGTAATGAGGTTGTATGTGGGGTTATGAGAATGTTGTGTTGTTCACTTATTATTCTTCATCCATTATTCTTCATTTCAATATAGAAAAGTATACGTGGTGAGATTTTGTATAAAATAACTGAGGAAAAATGGCTCTTCAAAAGGCATGATCAACTTTTGTTGATTCAACACGCGGGTATGCGACTGGAACGTTGCCAAAATTTCAAAGCAATCGGTGAAAAACTTTCGGAGATTAGCGGTTATGCACAAACGAACATTTCCATTTTAATATATATATATATATATATATATATATATATATATATATATATATATATATATATATATAGATATATATATATATATATATATATATATATATATATATATATATATATATATATATATATATATATATATATAATATATATATATATATGTGTGTAACTGAAAACTCACACCCCAGAAGTGACTCGAACCCATACTCCCAGGAGCCACGCAACTGGTATGTACAAGACGCCTTAATCCACTTGACCATCACGACCGGACATAATGAGGTGATAGCCGAGGCTATTTGAACCACCCCACCGCCGGCACTCGGATAGTAATCTTGGGCATAGCATTTTACCAAATCACCTCATTCTTTGGGGCACACGTGAGGAACACAAATGCGAACAAGCCTGAATGGTCCCCAGGACAATATGCAACTGAAAACTCATGTGTGTGTGTGTGTGTGTGTGTGTGTGTGTGTGTGTGTGTGTGTGTGTGTGTGTGTGTGTGTGTGTGTGTGTGTGTGAAAGCTGCATGAAAGTGCAAGCCAGGATTCGAACCCATACCGTCCAGGATCACCCCTAAACGTACACAGTACCGTGACTTGTATGTACTTTATTGTACAAGATTACTTGATTACAAAATGTGGTGTTAACACATACACAACTCAACCTTTACAAGTAACATGTAACATTACAAGTAACAAGTAACGTCTGGTGGCCCGTCTGGTGGCCCGTCTGGTGGCCCGCCTGGTGGCCCGCCTGGTGGCCCGTCTGGAGGCCCGTCTGGTGGCCCGCCTGGTGGCCCGTCTGGTGGCCCGTCTGGTGGCCCGCCTGGTGGCCCGCCTGGTGGCCCGTCTGGAGGCCCGTCTGGTGGCCCGTCTGGTGGCCCGTCTGGTGGCCCGTCTGGTGGCCCGTCTGGTGGCCCGCCTGTTGGCCCGCCTGGTGGCCCGCCTGGTGGCCCGTCTGGTGGCCCGTCTGGTGGCCCGTCTGGTGGCCCGCCTGGTGGCCCGCCTGGTGGCCCGCCTGGTGGCCCGTCTGGTGGCCCGCCTGGTGGCCCGTCTGGTGGCCCGCCTGGTGGCCCGTCTGGTGGCCCGCCTGGTGGCCCGTCTGGTGGCCCGTCTGGTGGCCCGCCTGGTGGCCCGCCTGGTGGCCCGTCTGGTGGCCCGTCTGGTGGCCCGCCTGGTGGCCCGCCTGGTGGCCCGTCTGGTGGCCCGTCTGGTGGCCCGCCTGTTGGCCCGTCAGGTGGCCCGCCTGATGGCCAGTCTGGTGGCCCGCCTGGTGGCCCGTCTGGTGGCCCGCCTGGTGGCCCGTCTGGTGGCCCGCCTGGTGGCCCATGTGGTGGCCTATGTGGTGGCCCGCCTGGTGGCCCGTCTGGTGGCCCGTCTGGTGGCCCATCTGGTGGCCCGTCTGGTGGCCCATGTGGTGGCCTATGTGGTGGCCCGCCTGATGGCCCGTCTGGTGGCCCGCCTGGTGGCCTATGTGGTGGCCCGCCTGGTGGCCCGCCTGGTGGCCCGCCTGGTGGCCCGTCTGGTGGCCCGCCTGGTGGCCTGCCTGGTGGCCCGTCTGGTGGCCCATGTGGTGGCCTATGTGGTGGCCCGCCTGGTGGCCCGCCTGGTGGCCCGTCTGGTGGCCCGCCTGGTGGCCCACCATGTGGCCCGTCTGGTGGCCCGTCTGGTGGCCCGCCTGGTGGCCCACCTTGTGGCCCGTCTGGTGGCCCGCCTGGTGGCCCGCCTGGTGGCCCGCCTGGTGGCCCGTCTGATGGCCCGTCTGGTGGCCCATGTGGTGGCCTATGTGGTGGTCCGCCTGATGGCCCGTCTGGTGGCCCGCCTGGTGGCCTATGTGGTGGCCCGCCTGGTGGCCCGCCTGGTGGCCCGTCTGGTGGCCCGCCTGGTGGCCCGTCTGGTGGCCTGTCTGGTGGCCCACCTTGTGGCCCGTCTGGTGGCCTGCCTGGTGGCTCGCCTGGTGGCCCGCCTGGTGGCCCGTCTGGTGGCCCACCTTGTGGCCCGTCTGGTGGCCCGCCTGGTGGCCCGTCTGGTGGCCCGTCTGGTGGCCCACCTGGTGGCCCGTCTGGTGGCCCGTCTGGTGGCCCATGTGGTGGCCTATGTGGTGGCCCGCCTGATGGCCCATCTGGTGGCCCGCCTGGTGGCCTATGTGGTGGCCCGCCTGGTGGCTCGCCTGGTGGCCCGCCTGGTGGCCCGTCTGGTGGCCCGCCTGGTGGCCCGCCTGGTGGCCCGTCTGGTGGCCCGCCTGGTGTGGGAACCGACCTGTGAGATTTATATTTATTTAATTTATATGAATTTATATTTACGTTAATTTATATACTTTGATAGCAATATGTATGATGTTAAGTGGACTGTATTTCTGCAATAATCTCTTAATCTCACAAATCGATCCTCTACACATTAGGGGGGGTTTATATTAATTTAATTTATATATATGCAGCCAATCAAACTACAGTATTAGACTACATACATTGAAGAGGTTCCTTATCTTATTTGTACAGCAGGCCTTAGTCCACCAGATATAACCAGGATGTAGACACCACATTTTCCCTCTTTGAGGTAGCTTCCATCACCCTGGTAACTGATGCACAAAGCATGCTTCCTCGTCTTGACCTGTCAAAAGGGCGCTAGCTGTGAAGCCAGAATCCTAGTATATGACAGTTATATCAGAGAAAACACTGTACAAGGAACCTTAAAGACCTGGCTTAATTACCTTTAGTATGAGGCAATCTTATGCTCTAACAGGATCACCCTATCCAATGACATTAATGGCCACTAATGATAGATAAATGGGTTTCGGTAGAACACTTAACTTGAATTTGTTGACAGCGTGTTGATGATGGTACACCTTTGGTTTCCATAACACTTCGTCCAAGTAAAATTAACAGGAGCCGAATTGCTCCCGTGAGCCTCTGGTCTAGTATAAACAATGGCTGCCCACTCCCTCACCCTGACGCCTGGCTTACATTGTCCAGATGACAGTAAGTGATAGAAGGGTCACATTTACTCTACTTTAATATTGATAATTAAGTTAATTTATATGAGATGTTTTTATGATGGTAAAGTCCAAAGACTAATGTATTTAAGAATAATTCCCACCATAATAGGTGGTGAATTTATAACAGTATGTGGTAATGATATCCCGTTTTCTATAGACGGAAATTCCACTACAATTTACATTTTCTATGGGTAACTTGTGTATACAATACAGCAGCAATTATTATCTGTCTGTATGATATTATTATTAAATGGTGTCGGATTTTCCGACATAATTCCCGAGGGGGCTGCTCACGGGTCGAAGTCCTCTTTAGAACAGACGACACCGATACTCCTCCTTCGAATTATTAGATTAATTTGATGTTAGTAGTTAGTAATCACACATTTGTGCGTCTGTTCATACAGGATGGATGTCCCGTACTAGAGTTGCAGGGGTTAGAAGTCTAATGCGATTTCATTTCCCTGTTTACTCTTGAAAGGCTAATATTCAAGCCTAATTACATATTATTTAACCCAGAAGACTGAATGTGATCAAGTACTACAGTCAAGTATGATTCAGGGACTGCAGTGAGATCAGTGACATTAGATATAACTTGAAGTTTGTTCAGGTAACTGGTCACTGATATATAAACACTGAGGCCCATAGAATACATCTTGATTAAATAATAAATGTATCAAATCAGTCATCAGATTTATTGGGGTTTAATTTAGTTAATTGATTCAGAAGATTGAATAGCTCATCATTAAAGTAAAGTATGGTTCTGAGACTGCAGTGGGTTCAGTGACATTGGTCGCAGTGACTTGTAGCTGTTTAGGCTACTGTTCACTGATTTGCCACTGAGGCCTCATGAACTCATCTTCAGCTTTAAATGATGATACTAACATCAACCTCTGTTGGTATAGTCAGCTGTAATCTCCTTAGTATAATGCTACTGGAGAAATATAATCAGCTGACAAATTTAGATTTCTATTGGTATTGTTTATCTGCAGCCATAGGTCTCCTCAGGCTTGATACTGGGCCTGAGAGTAATTTACCTCCTGCAGACTTTAACATGGTTATGCCCTGATATTTAGTAGGGCTACCGATGAATCGATGGCAATAGTCTGTCCCTACAAGGAGACCGAAGTCGGTGAGGTGATCAGACTTAATATTATCTGCCAATTTTATTCCTCTATTTCTCAGGAATTTGGCTGTTGCTCTCAGACCTTGAACTTGTAGGTCTACTGGTATTTTGTCCACCACAATGGCTTGTACTCGACAGACGTACCTGCCTAAACGTACTGATGGTTGTACCACCTGGTAGACTTGAGGTCCTGCATCTGTTACAAACCCTGAGATATTGAATGACATCTGGGCTACAGGCCTTAATTGTAGTTCATCTGCCAGCTTTTTAGTGACATATGTTCTCTGGGACCCTTGGTCAAACAACCCACGGGTATGGACCTTGGCCCTCTTATTCTGGATGGTAATTTGGGCAGTAGGCAAAGTCGTATTACCTTTAGACTTTGCCGATTGGACACTCTTTGTTTGTTGCACCTTGCAGTACTGTACTGTGGTGGGAATGCTATCTTCCACCTTGGGGTTTGGAGACGTTGTTTTGGTGTCTCTGCACAATGCTGCATGGTGCTGACCTTTGTTACACCTATTACAGGTGTGTAATTGGGTATCACAGTCGTTGATGTTATGTTTCCTGAGGCACCTCGTGCAATGTTGCAAATCTTTGAGTCGCTCAACACGGGCGTCACTATCAGGAAAATTAGGGCAGTGGTACATTGAATGTTTCTCATTGCAGAACAAACATGTTCCATAGCTTCCAGTACCCTTTGGTGTCACGTTCTTGGGTGACACAGTAACTATAGGCTTGGAGGGTCCCACTGCATATACGCCCACACTGCTACTGTTCCACTTTGGTGTTGAATTATATTGTCTAGATTGATTTGGAGTACCTTTGGTACTCTGTGGTTTACTATTATTGGTTTCTGAGGGTTTACTTGGTGGTTTTAATTTGTCATGTGTTCGTAATTGATGAACTACTGACTTTAAACCTTCAGATATTTCATTCATGGATAAGATACTTTTATTGTAATGAGCACTCATTTGTCTCAATATGTCCCTAGGTATTTTCTCCTGGACAATTATTTTCAAGACCCACTCAGCCCCGTTTGTATCTGCTGTCAGGCTGAGGGCATTGATCAATGATTCTACCTCCAGCTTGAAGACTTGGAGTGAATCAGCTGAAGCCTCCGGTGGGGGTAAATGCAACAGCTCATGAACTAAATGTGATGTTCTTACTTCTGGATCAGCATAATTATCCTTGAGGAGTTTTACTGCCAGATCATAGCCGTCATTAGTTAATCTCAGATGGGATACTACTGTTTTAGCCTCACCTGATAATTGGCCTTGCAAATAAGAGAATTTACTACTCTTTGGTAAAGATTGTTTTGAGTCTACAAGGTCAACGAATTTGTTCCAAAATTCGTCCCAATCTTCCTCATCTTTTCCTGAGAAAGTGGGTAAATTAATTGGAGGGAGTCGAGCTTCTGCTTGACTCTCATTAGATGCAACTGTTGTTGTTGTTGCTGTTGCCTTGTTCTGGGCAATTAATTTGCAATTAATTTGACATAAGGCTGTAACGTGGCCTGAGTGTGATCTTCATAATTCGCAAGATCAACCATAATGTCGTCTATTTCTGTTTCTGATAAATTGGTGTTGGCAAGTTCAGCCACATGTTGCTATTTGGCATTTGATTTGCTCAAATTTACCTGCAGCTGCTTGATAATAGCTTTCCAGGTCAGCATAATCAACTTGAGATTGTTGTGACAAATCTTCACATTTCTTGATCTGTCTTGTTAAGTGGCCTTTAAGACCTGCAAGGGTTCTTTTCATTCTCCCTGCATTATCCATATTAGCTAGTTGGTGAAGCCTTGTGGGACTTGTACTTGGGTCGCTCATAATACTGAACAAGCACTGATGGTAGCCTAGGGTAAAATTCTGCACTCACTAGGCAATAATCCTACCTCTACTAGAGGTTAGCACTTAAAATTTATACACATTATATATATACACAATCATACACACTAATGATTTGAGTGATAAACCAGTGTCACTGGAAGTACCTTTAGGTTAGCTCCTCTATATCACCCTAGGATGGAATAGACACTAATTAATCACTCAAAGGTGTAATGATCTTAAGTAAATTATTATATATACACAACTCAACTCGAGTTGATAAAAATTACACCCAAAATAGGGTCTGGACCATTCATTAATGGTGTTAGGTTGTTCAATATAGTACAACTGACTATGGTAATAGGACTAAGATGAACAATAATAGTTCAACTAGTCAATGGTAATATCCTACCCTGTTGTGGGTTGGCAATTAGTAACTATTATACTGTGATCACTAGTGCAATATATATTAAATAATTCTCTATTTTGGAGAAATAATATACACAATTATTGATAATAGCCTCTATGAAACTTCTAATATTATCTAGAAGTATTAAATATTATTAGTGACCTCGCGAAATAAAGTCCACAAAATTCGTAGATAATCTCTCGCGAAATTTAACACCACGAAATCCGTGAACAATTTCGCGAAACCACAGCCACTACTTTGGCTGGCTTCAATATTAGCGCTGTCATTTCACAGAATAACACGCCACCAAATCTGTGGGTGTGCATGAAACCGCTGACGAGGCTGATCTGAACTGAGCGGGGCTCGTGAACTTCGCTTGAGGCAACTCCGCCGTCTTTGACTGCTGGCCTTTGTTTAAATCACACTGCACTAGTTTATTTAATGAATCCACTGGTTAACTGGTTCATCCGGTACTAAGATGACCAAATGTGGGTTCAAAGGATCAAATAATCCGTCATCCGGAGGTCCAAATAATTCGGTTTCGAAGGACCAAATAATGTGGGAACCGACCTGTGAGATTTATATTTATTTAATTTATATGAATTTATATTTACGTTAATTTATATACTTCGATAGTAATTTGTATAATGTTAAGTGGACTGTATTTCTGCAATAATCTCTTAATCTCACAAATCCATCCTCTACACATTAGGGGGGGGGGGGGTTATATTAATTTAACTTATATATATGCAGCCAATCAAACTACAGTATTAGACTACATACATTCAAGAGGTTCCTTATCATATTTGTACAGCAGGCCTTAGTCCACCAGGTATGACCAGGATGTAGACACCACATTTTCCCTCTTTGAGGTAGCTTTCATCACCCTGGTAACTGATGCACAACGC